CATTTTATTTGGGGTCTTCTTTAATAAAAACTACTATTGAGCCCTTACTCTAATTGAGGTACATTTACTTTGTTTGTGTTAGAGAATTAGCATAGTTATCTAACTTAATCTTCATAAATAGCCCTGTGAGGTAGGTATTATTATTCTCATTTTACAGATGGGAAAGTGAGCCATTGAGAATTTAAGTAACCCACTTCATTCCTTTCTTAGTTTTACTGACTGTAGGGAAAGTGGAGGGTGGATGAAAGTGGAGTAGAGTTTTGCCTGGTATCGTTTTGGAAAGTACACTGGGCTGGCAGTTACTGGGCTCTTGTCCAACTCTATAATTGATTAGTCTGAGTGACCAGGGACATGTCACTTTCCCTCTCTGGGCTTCGGTTTTCTCATCTGTAACAGGAAGGGTCGGCTCAGTGATCTCCAAGTTTCCTGCCAGATCTAAAAGTCAGTGATTTTCTTGTTTTTCTAATATAGCAAGTTGAAATGTAACCCTCCTCCACACCAATATGCTACATTTGCACAGCTGTGATTTTGCTAAAAATGGACACTTTCTGAATGTTAAAACAGTGCATGGTAGAGAATAGTCAGTTTAGATCCAAAACCCCCCACTCTGCTAAGGGATTAATACTGAAGTAAAGCTTTGATCCCACTCAATATAAAATATTCCCAGGATGGAGGATGTGAAATGGCATTGCTTTCACTGGAGCTTTTTAAAAGATTACTTCTAGATGCATATAGCCACCAAATAAATTTTGGATCTGGGAGTATTGCAACTGAAATGTAGCCACCAATGCTCCCTGGATTCTCTCTATGACATGAGTCCACAATGTGGCGAATTCTTTGAACTCCAAGTGTGTTGTCAAATTCCTGGAAGGTCTTTTCTTCCTCGAGTTATATCGGAAATCTTGAAGGGTCTATTACACTATTACCCCTCCCTCTTCCCCACCTGGGTTCTGAAACAATTGAAAACAAGACAAAGTTGTTCAGCAGATGGAGATAAATATATCACTTTTGCGGTGTTAAAGGTGATATTGGAGAATACGGCTTCTATTGGTGGCCAAGGCAACTTCCTATCCTAATACTGAACCCTAGAATCAGACAGACATCCACCCAGCCCTGTGGACCAGGACGAGCCTTTTCCCCAGCAAGAGTATGAATTAAGCATCCTCAGTTTCTCCTTACAAACTCCCTATTACAGAGACTGCCGGTTATCCCTACATCTCTTCTTCCCTTCCCCTACAGTAATACGACGCCCACTTTTCAGCGGGGCTTAGTGGCTCTTCAGACTAAAGACCACATCCCCCAACCTCCCTGCAGCGAGGTGTGGCCACGTGACTTAGTTCAAGGGGGTGGGGGTAAGAGGAAGTGTTGTGCTTAATTTCTGGGAAGAATGGGGAGCTGCGCTTCTCTCCCTAGTTTCCCTCCTCCCTTCTGGCAAGAAGAAGGAGCTGGAGTGTCTATTTGGACCACGAAATGGAAACTGACTTTTGAGAATGGCAGACAAACTAGAAGGAGCCCGGGGCCCTGGAGACATCATACTGGCCCTGGAGACATCATACTAGCCCTGGACTGCTTACCTCGGACTCTATTCATGGGCGAGAGATGACCTTTATCTTGTTTAAGCCACTATTATTTTGAGTTTCCTGTCACTTCAGATTAAGCCCAGTGTTAACTGATATATTCTCCAATCAGATGTCATTCCATCTCCTCGGGCACTGAGTGAGGACTGGAGGGATCAGGAGGTGGGGAGCAGCCCCGAGTGTTCCACTAATTGATGTCCCTCCACATGGAAGGCAGTGTTAGGGAGTAGGGAAGAAGAGTTCCCCTCCTGACCAGTTTATTTGTTTAACAAATAATTATACCACCTGCTATGTGCCAAGTACTGCTCTAACCACTTTATAACTATTAATTTATTTAATCCTCATAACAATCCTACAAGGTAAGTATTAATAATATCCCCGTTTCACAGATGAGGAAACGGAGGCCCAGAGAGGTTAGGTAACTTGCTCCGGGTCACATTGCTCGGAAGTGATGGAGCTTGGATGCAAACCCAGATAGTCTAGCTCTAGAGCTCATGCTCTTCACTACACTAGGTGGTTTCTTTTGAGGGACAGGAACAGAGACACCCTTAAGTTTTCTTAAGAAAGGGATGTTTGTATTTAGGACAGATGAAGAGGTCAGAAAAAATAGTAGTGGTCATCTGAGATGCGCTGGTGTCTGGTTACCTCTTCAGCTGGATGGGTCCATTGTTCCCTAGACTGTTGTACCGCCATTATGGTGACTCAGTTACTCTCCAACACTACTTCTCACGCTTCTGCTCTCCTATTGCACTCACCTACTATCTGTTTCAACTCAGCTTCTTTCTACCGCATCTTCTTATACGTCCTCTACTACCTGTGGCTTCTGCATTTTGCCTTCTCTGTGTGTACACATTTCTGCCTACCCTACTACCCAGTAACAATATTGTCTTCTCCCTACAAAGGATTGATGGGGTCAGCCAGTTATTCTCCGGTACTGAATGCCCAGTGAGGTAAGGCTTTTGCATCCATCACTTTCACTGTTTTTGGATGGTCTGTCCAGCCCCCCAAGGTCACCAAGAGTGCTGCAGTCTATGCCACACCCTTCAGGGACTCGCAATCATATGGGTCCTCATTGAGTTTCTTCCAGCAAGAGACATGCCCAGCAGGGAGATCGGGCATGCCATCCTTGTTATTTTCTCTTTGTTATTCTTTCTCTTTATATCCTATAAATGAGCGTGAGAAGGAGTCTGAATTGTTATCATAATAGCCAATGACATAAACAGGATATTCAACTTTTGTACTTTCCTTTCCTATATCTCATCAAAAAGTGAAATGAGCTTTGGACATGCACCCAAAAATATCTTCTAACTCTCTTACCTACCCCATCTAGTCCAACCATTGTGCCAGGCTTCTTCGTAGGTTGTTGGCCAATCTATCAATGGCGGTCTTCGGATCAATGACCACCCTAGTTCAATGTACTGTGATCAGAGAGTTGGTTATGAAGAAGTATAGTGACTGCAGCCCTGGATGTCTCTCCAGGCATGATAGACTCTTCTCTAAGAATAGAAGCAGAAGACAAGGCATAACCTGTAAGGTTTGGCATGAGGAAAGATGGGTAGATACACTTAAGGTTTCGTAGGTGGAATAGAATTTTCGTATAACCACTGATTTCCGAGCTCTTCTTAGGGACTCTTGGTGTTTAGGGTTTGAATTAGGAGTGGAAACAAGCACTGGACTGGAAGTTCTAATGTGAGCTCCTTGTCCAAGGAAGGGAGCAGGTCCCAGGCTTCCTGTCCTTTCTTTCCTTTTCTCTTCCTCCTTTGTTTTTATTGCAGCTGTACAGAAATGGATTAATTATAACCCTTAGGTCATTAAGTACTCTTATTTTTGATTTGCAAATGACTTGCCTCTATTTATTGAGCTACTTACTAGTAACTTGATACTGGCGGACTACATTTTAAAGCAAAAGCTAAGATTTTTGACAATAATCTTTATCCACCTTAGTTTTCTATTGCTGCATAAAAAATTACCACAAACTTAGCAGTTTAAAAAAATACCCATACATTATCCCACAGATTCTATGGGTTAGAAGTCTGGGCATAGCTTATCCAGGTCCTCTGTTCTGGGTTTTATAAGCCTTAAATCACAGTATTGGACAAGCTGTGATCTCATCTGGAAGCTTGACTAGGAAAGCTTCCTCAGGTTGTTGGCTGAATCAGTTTCCTTGAGGCTGTAGAATTTGTGGAAGCTTGCTTCTTCAAAGTCAGCATTGGAAAGAAAGAGTCTCTGCTGCTTTGAGTCTCTGACCTCTAAATCCTCTTTTATGGGATCACCTGATTAGGTCAGGCCCACCCAGGGTAATATCTCTTTTGATTACTTAAAGTCAACTGTTAGGGACTGTAATTACATCTCCAAAATTCTTTCACCTTTGCCATGGGGTATTGGTTAGGAGTAAATTATAGTTCCTACTGACACTTAATGGGGTAGGTCATTATATAAGGATGTGGGTCATTGGGGGTCATTTTAGAATTTTGCCTACCACACTACCTATATGGAATCCTTCTAACATCCCGTGCACCAGGTTCTCTCCCTTCCAAATCTATCTGTCATTCCCTTGCTTTCCTTTTTTCTGTAGGTTTACTTACTTTTTGAGACTTGCTTTTTTGTCACTTAGTATTATATTGCTAAGATTCATACATATTGATATATGTTTTTATATTCCATTCATTTTTAATTGCTATTTAATATTCCATTAAATGAATTTTTACATAATGTATTCCTTCACTCTCACGTTGATGGGCATTTGGGTTGTTTTTAGATTTTTTGCTATTGTGAACAATGCTGATGTAAACATATTTACATGTCTACAGTTGTAGATGAATAAGAATATATTTTGAGAATATGTAGGAGTGGAATTTCTGGGGCACAGGAGGTATGAATGTTCAACTTGAGCAGATAATGTCGAACTTTTCCAAATTCACATTTCCATCAGCAGCAGGAGATCCTATGGTTCTATTCATCTCCAATACTTGCCATAGGTAGATTTTTACATTGCGGCCCATCAAAGGCGTGGAAATTGGTACTCCATTCTGGCCTGAATTTACATGACCTTGCTCACTGATAATGTTTAACATCTGTTTGTAAGTTTACTAGCCATGTGTTTCCTCTTCTGTGACATATTTGTTCATGTCTTTGCGCACATTTCTATTGATTTGTTTGTATTATTTTAACATTTATTTGCAGGCATTCTTTATATATGCACACAAAAAATGAGAGAAAAACTTGTTTTAGGGTAAAATAGGCCCAATAACTGGTAAGTATGGAAACATTCAACTTTGGATTGAGAGACAGTATAGTGGGGTGATGAAGCACACAGACTCGTGCACCAGATTGTCTGGGTCTAAGACTTGACTCCGGTAAACATGACTTTTTTTTTTTTTAATTGCACGTGGTCCTTTTATTTTTGGCAGCAGAAGTGATTCCTCCTTGCAGACCCAGAGCCATGGGTCTGCAGAAAACTGTCTATAGTCACCAGCATGACGATGATTAATAGCAATCCTGGAGTAGTGGTTCTAGACAAATGGCACCGACATGGAGGCCACAGGGCAGAAATGTAATGTGAGCATTGAGTCACAGGCTGGCTCCTAGGTAAGTTCCAGTTACTGCTGGGTTAGGAGGACAGATGGGGCTGTGTGGCTATAACAGTGTGTCCATAGGTGGTTTATTTAACTTCTATGCCTCAGTTTCCTTGCGTATCAAATGGAGAGAGTGGTGGTGTCTACCTCATAGGGATTTTTTAAGGATTAAATGAATTAGATATAGAAAACACTGAGAACAGTGTCAAACACATAATAAGCACTATATTTGTTCAGAGTATTATTTGGCCTGGATTTCCAGGTCCTGCTGGATGCTAGGGCTGTGTTCTGCTAACCAAACTCAGGAGAGTCATTTTACACATCCCCATATGTGTATATTCTTCTGTATTGACTCATTTCTAACAAGTCAAAATGGATTATCATTTTCCTTCATGGATAACTTTTTCTTGAGTAGTGAATTAGTGGATGATGGAAAAATATTAATTCAGGCCACTGAAATATACCGATAATAATATAATACAAATAACACATGTAATAATAATATATCATACAATGCATAATTCTGTCTCTAAGCTCTCTTCCAGATTTAATAGCCTGTGATTCTATAAGGGATGTTGAATTACTTATTCCAGATAGCCCAAAGCTTGACAACAAGGCATGACGGAACTGAAATTGCCCTGCTTTGTTGAGTCTGAAATCACATTCCGAGGCAATAGTCATTGTCTAAGTAAAATGGACTGCCAATTATTTGAATAAAGAGAAGTAATATTGTCCTGTATTAGCTATCTTTTTTTCCCCATTAATAAAGTTCATTTGTTTCCGTTTGTCCAACTCTCCTTTATTCTGCAGGGACTTTCTTAAGATTACTGAATCCATAGATGCTTTTATCCACTCCAGACAGACTGAAGGAGTCTGATTCTTCTAGCGAATGTATTTTTAGCAACAATTAAAGCTTCTGTCTCCTGCTTTTCTGAGCAACTGGCATCCTCCAGCATTCAGAACCACCTGCATTCAGCCTTCAGGGAGCAGGACTACTTTGCTGATGGTTCAGCTATCAAATGGAGGCATAAACACTGCAGGTTGTGTGTAAGCTGGAGAAGGTAGCTAATTATGCTAATCAGGAATATTAATAATGCAAGATGTGCAAACAAAAACACTGTTACCAGTTGCAAGGCATGATTACTCTCCTCTTCCTGCTCCCTTGCTCCCACCCCCTACTCAGCTGAAGGACATGATAGAAGCAGAAAGTGGGTCTCCTCCAGCAGATACTGAATCCTGAAAGGCAGCGATGAAGTTGACAATGAAATTACTCATTGCGAGCAAGAGAAACACCACGCTTGTCTGCCTTGGAGCTGGACTTCTATGAAGGGTTTGGAAACCATAGAAGTGAAGTTAACTGGAAGAAACTGGTGGAGTGTCTCACAGATGCTCAGTCAAAGGTCAGGGTAGGACCTTGTCAGAGA